CAGTATGAGAAACTTGGGCTGTGGGCAAATGGAGATTCCTGTCAAGCAGCAGGACAGAAGGGATGCAAGAGGGCAGAACGGCAGAAAGAAGCAAGGACTGTGGAAAGGGATGCATGCGTTCTACAGTGGGGAACCTGGATGCATGTGGGACGGGAATCTCTTAATTAACAAAAGCAGCGGGAGAAGATAACTTGTTTGCTTGCTTGTTTGTTGCAGGTGGGCATAGCTGTCAACTTACAGATTTGAAAATAAGGGACCAGCAGCCTTGAAAATAAGGGATCAGCAGCCAAAATAAGGGATTTTCCAAGCACAGGTATGTTCAGCTTCTGAGCCCCTCCGAGCCAAAGGCAGAAAGCCCAGCCAGCAGCCAAATGAAGCCTCAAGCGGTGGTTCCCACAGTGCAGCAACCCAGCAAAGGGGATGCAGCAAGGGAAACCACCGTCACCTCTCCACTGGGAAGTGCTGAGCAAAGGCGAGTCCCCAGGCAACGCGGCCGATTTGATCGGCACAAGGCATACAAGCTCCACCCCCCAGTCATTCTTAGACTCCTTATTGGGTGAAGAACGCAGCCAAGCAACGCAGTTGGAGCCTCCCTCCTCCCTGGCCAGCAGGGAGGTAGAGAGAGGAGCTGCTTCCTTTGAAACCCGGGAAATTTAAGGGACATCATCAATAAGGGACAGCAGCGGGACACAGCGCTGGGATAAGGAAGTTTCCCGCCAAATAAGGGACGGTTGACAGTTGACAGCTATGCAGGTGGGATCTTCTAGCTTGCTTCGGGAGTGGGGAGCACTATAAACAAGAAACAGCAAACTCCTCACAAAGGTGTACAGGTTGCCTTGAAGTGAAGAGGGTGTTGTAGATTTGAGGGGGGACCCTTGCTAAATGCTATAAATTAACAAATGGTAGGATTTTGAAGCATGTGGAGAAATACAAGCTGCAGAGGAATTCCTGGGCTGGCCTATGCAAAACGACCTGGCCAAGCTACGGCCATTAAGAAACAATACAGGGCCATTGGCAGTGAAAGAGAACTGTCTTTCCCCCTTGCCCTTCAGCAAACCTGAGATGGAATAAACCCTGCTTCCTATTTCTCCCACTGATGGAAAGGCAGCCCCCAGATGACAGTCGACCTTTTATAAGCTGAACAACTTGGCGACAGAAGAAGCGTCCTCCTTGCGGGCTACCCATGGGCATCCAGCTGGCCTCTGTCGGTGCAGGATCCTTTGGCTTAATCCAGCAACCAGGGTCTTCTTACAAGACCCCAGAAGTAGAACAAGAAAACAAGATCAGTTGCTTCTGCTGGAAATGTTGTCGTTTATCCCTACAGAAAGATTTGCTTATGTGTTTGCATCTGAAAATGTGATGTCTCGTCAGTGTAACTGGGCTAAAGCAGCCTATTGGACTGGCACATTCAACGCCGTCTCGCCCATACGCCTCGGGGCTTCCTAGATGCGATATCTGTTTGGAACTGCAACCAAGCATTCCTGGTAATTCACGCCAGCCAGTGTGAACTGTGTGGGATCTGTCAGCTGCAACATTAATGCTACTCCTCGAAATTGCTTAATTTTCTCTTCACCAGGAGAGAGCTTGATAGGTGTCTTAATTCAGAAGGGTAATTAACTTTTAGGAAAAGGAAGGTAGGTGGCAGAGCTTCTGCCTGGCTTGGGCATTAGAACAATATTTGTCTCATGTAATGTCTCTGGCTGCGTTGCTTTTTCTGGAGTAACATTAGGTCGAATTCAGTCACCCACTGTATGTCTTGTAGACTTCTGCTGGAAGGTCAACCCTGTCTGGGGTTTCTTTGGGAGGGTGTTATTTCTACCACCCCCACCCCCCCATGTTCCAAACATTATTGCAGAATAAATAGTCAAATTGTTTTGTAGACATTTGGCAAACTCACCTACATAGTTCATCGAAAATACAGTGGTATCTTGGTTTACGAACTTAATCCATTCCGGAAGTCCGTTCTTAAACCAAAGTGTTCTTAAACCAAGGTGTGCTTCCCGTAGCAGCGGGGGACTCAGTTTACAAATGGAACACACTCAACAGGAAGCGGAACATGTTCTGCTTCCAAAGCAAAGTTCACAAACTAAAACACTTACTTCCGGGTTTGCAGCGTTCTTAATCCAAGTTGTTCATAAACTAAGCTGTTCTTAAACCAAGGTACCACTGTACAGAAGTATAATTATGATTTGTCAATCTCTACTAGCCATGATGGCTATGTTCTCTCTCCACAACAGGAGAGAGTTTTGCTCCTTGAATGTCCTTCATCAAAAACAACTCTCATTCCTGGAACTGCACATGTCATTGGTTTATAGAGCTCCCAAGTTTGGACAGTGTGTATTAATTTTATGAATTAATTTTATAATTCAGTTTTCAAGACTGAAAGCCAATGCAAACACAGGACAGACTCTTGTCTGTGCTTAGCCAGTTTAGCACTGGTTGGAAAGAAGGAATTCCAGAATTCTTGCTGCTGTGCTGCTGTGGCGGAATTCTGGTGGCAAGGAAATGGGAAAATGAAACAATACCAACAATTACAGATTGGCAGATACTCATGTTAGAATATTTACAACTGGCAAAACTGACGGGAAGAGTTAGAGGAGTATTGAACCAGAAAATATTTGAAGAATGAAGAATATTTAAGGATTATATAAAATCATATTGTACCAACCACACCATATTAGCAGAACTTGAGTGATACTTGTAAACACAACAAATACCTTTGTGGAGTAGACGGGAACAATACTAAGGAATATAAAACTGTGCGGAAAAACGACAGTATAAACAGTACAATGAGAATGATTGGAAGACTCATTTTGTCAGAAGTCTTTTTTATTTAAGTGTTTATTTAAGTATTAATTAGGAAGATTAAGTGTTTTTATGTACGTAAATCTGCTTTTTCTTTTTTTCTGTATTCTCTTATTTTCTTCTTTCTTAATTGTTTTTTCTTTCATTTTCTCTTTGTAGTATGAGATTGTGAATTCTTTGTATATGTGTGTAATTTAAATTAATAAAGATTTTTTTTTAAAAAAGGAAAGAAGGAATTCCAATAGGAAGTCCTTCTGCCATACAAACTAGTCCTTCAGCTTCACCTTCTCAGGTGACACACAGAACTTTATCTGAACGAGCTCCTAATTCTCTCTGACCCTCCTGCGCTCTCCTGTCTGCATGCCCTCCAACATGCCGCAAAGAAAAATCAGGATGCGTGACTTTTGGGGCTGCACTCCCACGCAAGTCACGTAACTCGCTTGAGAGCATGGCCCCCCAAAATGTGTGTCTTTGGGGTCTGCACTCTTGTGGGAGCCAGGTGACTTGCGAGAGAGCACGGCACCACAAAACGGACATCTTTCGGGGCAGCGCTCTCGCGGGAGCCAAAACAGGGCATCCCGGGGTCCAGGCGGAAGCCGGGGTGGCTTCTGTAATTCTGGGGTGTCCCGCTCAAGTTGGAGCAGTTGGCAGGTGTGCTTTCTGTGCTGAATCACTTCCTTGGCAGTTGTTCCCTCGACCTGTACCTTCCCTTTGAGTCAGTAACTTCCTCTCTCTGTCTGCTGCCCTCTCACAGAGTTCAACATACATGGATATAGTGCAGAGACTTTCTTAATTTTCCCGTACTACACTCTCAGTTCCCCTTGTGGGCCATGCATTTTGGGAATGACCAAAAGAGGCGTTTCTCAAATGTCAGCAACATGCCAAGGAGTGTGGTTGCTGCCAAGGAGTGTGGTGGAGTCTCCTTCTTTGGAGGTCTTTAAGCAGAGGCTTGACAACCATATGTCAGGAGTGCTCTGATGGTGTTTCCTGCTTGGCAGGAGGTTGGACTCGATGGCCCTTGTGGTCTCTTCCAACTCTATGATTCTATGATTCTATTCTATGTGCCCACCCTACCCCTGCTCCTCCTGCTCTGGAACAGTTACCCATCTGGTTAGGACACCGGAAAAGGAAGTTTCCATTACAGGCAGCAAAATGAATAATCCTTGCAACCTCATTGCCACTCATGACGAAATCCAGTGCTGTGACTGGACTGAGTCAGGACACCTTCCTGAAGTGCAACAAACACTGTTGTAAACAAAATCTGGTCTTGTTCCCTTATGGGATACACAGGAGCCCTTATAGAGTCCTTTATAGGTTCTCCATCGGTAGGAGAAAATAACAGAGGCCAACCAGAGAATATTGAGAAGCAAAGCAGCTAGTAAGCCTGATCTTTGTTGAACTGTTGCAACAGGGTGCCCCCTTCACACGCAGGAGGAGGAGGACCCAGAACCAAGGTGTGTCCACCTTTATATAGACATTTTTAATTCCCTGCCCTGGAGCTCAAGACCACCCCTCCATACATCATACATACATCACTGAAGGGTTGTAACCCAAAACCACCCCCCACAAACATTATACTTAGATCACAGAAAAGGTGGTCTACAACAGAAATTTGAATGTTGTTGTTTTTTCTGTCTGCCAGGTGAGCAGTGTGATCACACTGGGTGCACAGCCAAAGAGGGTACCTTCTCAAAGCCCGGCTTCAGGAAGGAGGCACGAGGGCTCTGACAGGATCCTAGAGTCCTCCTGCCTCTTCCCAAAGCCGGGCAAACTCTTGCCAGGCATTAAGACTGAAGTAGGAGGGCTCTGGGACCCTGCCATTGCCTTGTGCCTCATTCCCAAAGCTTGGCTTAAGCTGGAGCCATGAGGACTGAGGGGAGGGCATCAAATACTGGCCTCACACAGAGCGGCATATTACCAAGGTCCGCCCCTGAGCTCAGAATTGTAAATACAAATGTGACCAAAGGAAATGACTCTGAAAATGATAACAGCGTTAAAATGTTAAACACAAAGCAAGGAAGATGTTTTGCTCTAGGCTCTAGCCTGGACTAGGGCTGGCCAATGTTGAATATTCTAGAAAGAACTTGAGAATTGGTCTTGAACAGGTTGCTAGGCAACAGAAACATCTCCCCGGCAACAGGTGCCTTTATTAAGGGCATGTGGTCAATAAAGGTCAGTCAGTGTGTAGATGAACAGAAGTTGTAAATGAGTCAGCAATTGAGTCTCAGAGCTGGATGGCTAGAGGAGAAGGAATTATGTTGTTTTATTTTTTTTATTTGACCAGTGTAAGTTTTTGTAAATAAGGAAGATGTTTTGTTCTAGGCTCTGGCCAGGACTAGGGCTGGGCAATATATCAATATATCGTCCAAACCCAGTTTGTATAGCATGAGTCATGGTTTGTGTGTGTGTGTGTGTGCGCGCTATGCACAAATCAAAATGTGGGGGAAACCGTACAGCGTGTCAGTGATTCTGGTTTCCCCCCGCAGAAATTTTTATTAGAGTATTCACAATACAATATATCCAGATTCCTGTTAACTCTGCTGGCTCAGCTACCCTCTGCCTCTTATGGAGGGCAGCGAATCACAAGAGCAGGCACAGGCAAAAATCACAATGCAGGAAAAATCATGAGAACAAGAAGCTGGACTAGATGAGCCATGGGCCTGCTCTTGCAGAGCTCCCTCTGCCTTAGCCTCTCTGGATGTTGATGATTTCCTTGCTGGTATCTTAGGGTTGTGCCCCACGATAGTAATACTCTGAATCACTGAAATCGAGGGACCTGACTAATGCAGGTCCATTAATTTTGGCAGGTCCACTTGGAGTATAACTTTAAATGGGCAACAACCCATAGGCAACTTTTTGTGTTGAATTTCCTTTGGCATCAGTTTGCACAGCAGGACATACCGCTTCCTTTCCTCACCTAGCCTTGGCATAATCTTAATATATTCCATTCACGGACGAGCAGGAAATAAGTTAGAACCTGCAAATACCTGGGGCGCACAGCAACCCACACACGCCTAAGCTGACTTCATTGCCTGCAAGTCTTTGGGTTCACCCCAATTGTATCCTCAATTCCTCTCTCACTATCACATGTCACAGGAGGACTGTGACACATGTCTGCCCAGGATGCTCCGAGATAGGAGCGAACAGTGATCGGCAACAGATGCTTTTGGTTTCGTTCTGATTTTCCACGATAAGACTAAATCCGGATAACAGGCGGAATATAGGCTGGGTGCTGTGAAAAACAGGTGCATATGAGCAACACCGATTCCAGAATAAAACACCTGTCTGGAATAGAGATGGCCAAATGTATCCATTTTGTTTTCTCTCAGTTTCTCTTTTTTCCTACTCTAAAGGCCAGTTCTCCACATTTGCACAACCATTTGAGATTGGTGTTTGTTTGTTTTTAAAGACCTCCTGAAAATTCACCAGCATGTTAGTACAAATTTCCTTAATATACACATTTATGCAAGGCAATTTCCGCATATACAGTGGTACCTCAGGTTACGGACACTTCAGGTTACAGACCCAGAAATAGTACCTCTGGTTAAGAACTTTGCTTCAGGATGAGAACAGAAATCGTGCTCTGGCGGCGCGGCAGCAGCAGAAGGCCCCATTAGCTAAAGTGGTGCTTCAGGTTAAGAACAGTTTCAGGTTAAGAACGGACCTCTGGAACGAATTAAGTCCTTAACCCAAGGTACCACTGTAATGCATTTCTGTATGTTATTTCCACTAATATATGCATTTTATGCACACCTTTAAATGCAAACTGAATCAAATTTCTCTTCCATCCATAATGTGGAAGCACCCTTGGTTTTGTACATTGCAAGAACTCTACCTTTTTGCAGGAATTTTGTGGCCATGATTCCCTCCTCTGAATCAGCATATGAAAGCTAATGAAACTGAGCCATTTGGCAAAACAGTTTATTCATCACATCAAGCAGTTTTTACTTCTAATAATAAAGCATCAGGTTGAATCCTTCCCGAAACACCAGTTTCCTGTAGTGACACACACACACACACACAGACGCTAATAGAGCCATGGAAGGGGCAATACACAGGCACCATTTTGTTTTTGTGCTCTTCCCCTTCCATGGCTAATTGCAGCTTCAGGAGGCATTTGAATTGGGTGTACCGGTTACACTCCCATTTATTTTGCTTGCCATTAATCTCAGTGGAAGACCCAGCCGGCTATCTTCGGGTGGGAACTTTGGTGTTTTCATCAAGACAGCATAGATTATTCAGACCTCCAGCTATTCCTTGAAATGGTTCAGGCAGCCAGACTTCATATAGATAGGCAGGGCTGGCCCAGGATGTTTTGCCCCAGAGGCAAAACAGAAAGGATGCCTCTGCCGCTTTGCACCTGTTCCCAGCCAGCCTCTGTACGGTCTACGCTGTTAACGGAGAAATCTGAGGGCTCCCTTGGACAAAAAACAAGGACACCAGCCAGGAATACCAGAGCAAAACCAGTAGGCTTGGTCTTTACTGAAGACTGTCATGACAGGACTCCCACCTGCCACAAGGTGGAACAAGATGGAAGCCCCGAACAAAAGAGCCCCCAAACTTTTATTAGCAGCTAATCCCCATGTTACACCCCCCCAAACTACATCACTCATGCATCACAGTTACATCATGAAAGGGGAGGTCTGGTGGCAGTAATCTGAGCATCCTGGACCCTGCCCCATGGTTCTCCTTGCCCTCCACCAAACACCCATCAAGTGTAACAAAAAATATATTTACATTTCCCTGTTTCCCAGCCAAGTTAATCACACCCTTTTGTCTTCATCTGGATTTGTTATTTCTGGAATGGCTACCTGTCTGGCACTCAGGTATCAGGATGCCAGGGATTATCACTCAGGCAGAGGGGCTGCTGAGTAGCTGAGCTCACACGTCTATATGAATTTTTGAAGTTTCCCCAGTGAGCCAGTACATAGATACATTTATCACTGAATTGTTACATTTGGTATCGTGCAGCAAAGGCCCTTTGAATAGATAGGAAGAAACTGTGATGAAGTGTTTTGTGGGGACAAATCACAAAAGTCACAAAAGTGATTGTGCTGATTTTGGTAGTGGGCTGCCTGTGCATGATATCTGCTGGAGGGGCAACACCCCCACCCCCAACCTATACATAAATTCCTGCAACAACGCAGTTGGCAAAAGTGCAGCGGATTAGGAAGCAGAAGTGGCCAAAAAGCACAGGAGATGGAGCGACAGCTCCTCCCAGTTTCTGTGTCTCACCTTGCCTCATGGGTAGGCTGGCCCTGTAGATGGGACAAAAGGGTCCTCATTTTAGAGGCAGTTTTAAAAGGTGCATCTCCTACAAGCTTCCCATTGGTTTCAGGGTGGGACCTAGCCAGTCTTCTAATGTCTGTCATTTGAGTGTTTTCTACCCTATTGCCGTGAAGGCTTCAGGCCTTTCGATACACCTCCAAAGGATCAGAGCAGCCACATTTCAGAAAGATGGGATAATAGGCTCCCACTGTACAGACAGTTTTGAAAGGCACCCAGCCTGCTATAAGCTAAACAGAGCTACAAGGCGACAGAGCGGAGGAATGAGCAACATCTCTAAGAAAATATCCAACAATCTGATAGTTATTCTGGCTTGGAGGTGCTGCTAAGAAAAGAATCCTACAGATAAAACACTTTCCCACTCTGACAATTTCACTGCTCTCTCTTCTCTTCATCCTTCTCTGTAACCTTCCCTTTACCTGAACAAGACTGTTCCAGGGCTGCCTTAGGAAATACTGGCCTAGATGTAAAAAAAATTGTCTGATAAAGTATCTGGCAGTTTCCTGCACACAGTGGCTTCTGAAGCACACGAGTTTATCTTGGACGTGCTAGTCTTGATGTCGCAGGTACCATTTTCATGCATCAGCACTGCCAAGAAGACCAATTTCTTCATCATCGTCTGTGCCGTTCTCAGCAAGACTTCTACACCTATCAGTGACTTCTATTGCAATAATAAAATCCCCAAACTATTATGAGTTTGTAGCGCTGTTTCTGACCCGCTGCAATTCATCTCATACCAGAATCTACATTACTTGTCTCACTGTCCACCGTGGCAAAATTATACAATTTTGCACAGTGAATTACATGCCATGCATAACTTACAGAAATTGTATTGTCCCTATGTTGTTCCATTGCACTATGGAAATGCAATGCAAATGTTATTCCACTCCAGTATGGAAATGCAAAGTGTAAAGGAAATGCAATGCAAATGGCTGAAAAAACATAATCATGTATTGTTTGCAGACCAAAAACAATTGCATAACAATTGCATTTACCGGATTGATTTCCGTTCCAGGCCTAGGACAAATAAGCAAATATCTGCAATATCCACACCCATTCCCATTTCCTTTGGAATCCTCCAGCATCCCTATCCTATTGTTCTGGAGGGACTGAGTGAAGAGGTTAATGGGAGAGCCAAACCTTCAGCTGTGTGATTGAAATCCATGAACAGTCATTGACCTCTCCTGAAGGAGTGTCTCCACCCCAATCATTTAGCCCGGACACTGAGGTCCAGCTCTGAGGGCCTTCTGGCAGTTCCCTCCCTGCGAGAAGTGAGGTTACAGGGAACCAGGCAGAGGGCCTTCTTGGTAGTGGCCCCTGCCCTGTGGAATACCCTCCCATCAGATGTCAAGGAAATAAAGAACTATCTGACTTTTGGAAGACATACGAAGGCAGCTCTGTTTAGGGAAGTTTTTAATGTTTGATGCTTTATCGTGTTTTTAATATTCTGTTGGAAGCCGCCCAGAGTGGCTGGGAAGGCCCTGCCAGATGGGCGGGGTATAAGTATTATTATTATTATTATTATTATTATTTCTCAAAAGTCTTTCCACATGCATTTTAAATACTACAATGAACCTTGCATACAGAAGAAGGGAGAGAAAATGAGAATGTGGGCTGACGGAAAACAGTAAGAATAAGGTTTCGCTTATGGCAGGTAGTGGGAGATGATGTATTAGTCACTGAGCTGCTGACAGAAACACCAAGAAATTACACCCATCGCCATCAGGCAGGGGCACCCCAGCTGACTATGGACATATCTTTTTGATGTTCCTGCTGACGGGGGCATGGGAATGTGGCTCTGCAATTGAGTACTGAATGGATGGCGGAAAATTCTCCTCCCAGTGTTGTAATATGTCACAAGACATAAAAGACCCATTGTTCCCGACCTTTACCTTGTCATTCCTGAATCCTGAGTGCCTTCAGAAAATCAGCTGTGCCAAAAAAATCACCAAGTAAAAACCCCCATCCATGATGCAACCCCTTTTATTTTGCTTCAAATATTTCCTTTTAAACAATAATAATTACAATATTCAGGTTTTTCAATAATGGCTATAGTATTCATTAATATTAATATTAATATTCATTAGTATTCAGTGCTCTTTCCCCCCCCTAAAAAACATGTTTAAGGTTTATTCTAATTTTCTTACTCATATTGAAATACTGCCCCTCAATGAGGCCAAACTTAGATTCACAAAATGTTTAGGGGTATGCGTCCCACCAGAAAAAAAGCAATAGAGCTATTAGTATGGGGGTGCCAGACCCTTAAATTCCTGGATCCAATACATTCTAGAATTTAATCAAGCATCCTGAACCCCTGGGTCCAGCAAGGGTTGAAATATAAGCCAGGCCAATTTCCTGTTGAGATAATTGCCTGGGAGATGATCCAGTAAGAAAACAAAAGAAAGGTAATGAGCCCTTCAGAGAGCCAAGGAGAAGGGGTGGGGCCCCTCCTCCAGCTCAGAGTTAGTTAGAAGACAAAGCCAGAGTTTGAATTAGAGTCTTTAGGGTTGGCTGTGATGTGAACTAGAGGAACAAAAGTTGCAGGCTGATAAAGGCAGCAAGCTGGAGAGCAGGTCAGAGTGTGGTGGTTGATTTCTGCTTGAATCCAAGGCTGTGGCTGTGGGAGAAATAAGACCCTTTTAGGGTGCTGGTGCTGTGAACCCCTCCATCGCTGACTCACGTTGTATATATGTGTAAAGAAGCCATATATCCTAAAAACACCAAAGTCTCTGCTAGGCCTCATTCCCAAAAGGAAACACAAACCCTGGGTTAAGCATCCTGACCCCCTTGGAATCTTGCACCGCTCAGAGATAGGGAATGGTGTTATAAGAATTTTAAGGTCTTAGATATGTAATAAATGTTCATTAATGTACCAAGCAAACACGTACATCAATATATAAACCACATGTCTGGAGCAGCACAGGAAGACCGTTCTGAAACCATTTTGACTCCCAAACTGACCAAATGTTTC